CCTATAGCCTTTTTCCAGGATAATTGTGCACCGGAGAAAAGAGAATAATCAGACTTCTTGGGGACTATTGGATTCTGGCCCTAATTCATTCTGAATAAAGAAGACCCAAAACATAATTGTGCTCCAGAAGTCAGAGTAGGAGCTTATGAAGTTCAGGTGATCAATGGAATTTTAGCTGAGGTCTGCCTCACATTGGGTCCAATGAGTCCCTGAACCCATCCTGTGGTTATAACCCCAGTTCCGGAATACATAATTGGAATAGGTATACTCAGCAGCTGACAAAGACCATACATTGTTTCTCTGACCTGTGGAATGAGGCTACTGTGATGGTAAAGTCCAAGTAGAATCCAATAGTACTGCCTCCACCTAGAAAAATAGTAAGCTAAAAACAAGACTGCATTCTTGGAAGAATTGCAGAGATTAGTGACACCATTAAGGATGCAGGGGTAGTGATTCCTACAACAATTCTGTTTAACTCACCTATTTGGCCTGTGCAGAAGACAGATGGGTCCTAGAGAATGCCAGTGGATTATCATAAGCTTAACCATGAGGTGACATGAATTGCAGCTGTTGTACCAGATACGGTTTCGTTGCTTAAGCAAATTAACACATCCCCTCATACCTGGCATATAGCTACTGATCTGGAAAATGCCCCTTTCTCCATCTCTGTCAATAGGGCTCACCAGAAGCATTTTGCTTCCAGCTGGCAAGGCTAACACTACATTTTCACTGTCCTACCTCAGGAGCATTTCAATTTTCCAGCCCTATATCATGACATACTTCACAGAGATTTTGAGTGTCTGCCTCTTCCACAAGATATAACACTGGTCCATTACATTGATGACATTATGCTGATTGAATCTAATGTGTGAGAAGCAGCAGCTGCTCTAGACTTATTGGTAAGACATTTTTGTTTCAGAGGGTGGGAAATAAATCTGAAAATAATTTAGGGGCCTTGTACCTCAGTGATATTACATGAAGAGGCGGTTAAAATATCCACAATCTCCACTCCTGCTACACTGCCTTCTCTCTCCCAGCCTGTACCTGTGGCTTCATGGGGAGTTCCCTCCAATCAGTTGACAGAGGAAGAGAAGACTCTCTGGCCTGATTTATAGATGGTTCTACATAATATGCAGTCACCACGTGAAAGTGGACAGCTGTAGCACATTCCTGAGACATTCCTAAAAGACAGTGGTGAAAAAAAAATCTTCAGTCAGCAAAACTTAAAGCAGTGCACATGGTTGTGTACTTTACTTGGAAGGAGAGATGACCTGAAGTGCAACGCTACAGAAATTCATGGGCTATGGGCAAGTTTGGCTGGATGGTCAGAGACTTGAAAGAAAGATGACTGGAAATTTGGTGAATAAGGAAATTTGGAGATGGGATATGTAGATAGACCTCTTTGAATGAACAAAATAAATGTGAAGATATTTGGGTTCCATGTAAATGCTCACCAAACGGTGACCTCAGCAGAGGAGGACTTTAATCATCAAGTGGATAAAATGACGCATTCTGTGGAAGTGGGTCAGCCCCCTTCCCCAGCCAACCCTGTTGTGGCCCAATGGCTCATGAACAAAGTGGCCATGGTGGAAAGATGGAGTTAATGCAGGGGCTCAGCATCATGAGCTTGCACTGTCCAAGGGCAACCTGGCTACAGCCACCTTGGAGTGCTTAATATGCCAGCAGTGGAGACCACGCTGAGTCCCTAATATGGCACTACTTCCCGGAGTAATCAGCCAGTTACCAGGTGGCAGGTTGACTACATGGGACCACTTCCATCATGGAAGGGGTAGTGTTTTGTCCTTACTGGAATAGACACTTACTCTGGATATAGATTTGTCTTTACTACACACGATGTTGTCTCCATTAAAGATAATAATTAAAAAATTAGTTGGGTATGATAGTGCACTCCTGTAGTCCAAGCCACTCAGAAGGCTAAGGCGGGAGGATCACTTGAGCCTGGCAGGTGGAGGCTGTAGTGAGACATGATCATACCACTGCACTCCAGCCTGGGTCACAAAGTGAGACCCTGTCTCAAAAAAAAAAAAAAAAAAAGCATTAGCCATATGAGAAAAAAATGATTAATTGGACTTTACCAAAATTAGATAATTCTGATCTTTTTTCTGTTTTTGTTTTTTGACAAAAATTGGAGAAGCAGCCTTATGAATAAATAGGAGAATAATATGAAGAGACATTTCAAGGAAGAAAATATACAAAGGGCTAATAAACATATGAGAAATGTTTAGCTTTATTGGCCGCCAAAAGATGCAAATTAAACTCATAAGATATCTCTACACATGCATTGAATTGGCTTTAAAAAAGAAGTTGGAGAGGATATGGAGAAACTGGAATTCAGACTGCTGGTGGGAATGTAAAATAGCAAAAATCACATAGGGAAGTAATTTAAGTTTATTGAAAAGATAAGCATATTCTCACTCAATAATTCCACACTGGAATATTTACCCAAAATTTTGTACATGAGTGTTTATAGCAGCTTTATTCATACTACATGGATGAATCTCAAAAATATTATGCCAAAGGAAAGAACTTAGAAACAAAAGAGTAAATATTATATGTTTCAATTTATAGGAAATTCTAGAAAAGGCAGATCAAATCTATAGAAAGCAGATGGAGAGTTACCTAGTTCTGGGAGGTTTGGGGTGACTGGGAAGGCACACAAGGAAACCTGTTGAGATGATGGAAATGTTCTAGATCATAACAGTGACTGCATTTACATCAGTGTGTATGTTTGTCAAAAATCATTGAATTATATATTTATGATGGGTTCATTTCCATGTGTATTAATTATAATTCAATAAGCTCATTTTTAAGAAAGAGAACTATAAACAAAATATTGAGAGTGGTAGTTACTTCTGGAGAGTACACAAGGAGTGGATTAGAAAAGGCACACTGAAATAGATGCAATACTATCATATTAGTTATGTTCAGGTTCTTAAACAGTCTGGGGATAGGCTCATGGTTTTTCATTTCATCATAGTATTTCACAATTTATATTCATGTTACTTTTTTGTGTGCATGCATGAACTATCACATTATAAAAACAGAAGTGTGAGAGAGCTTAACAAATAATGTTACAGCCTTTACATCTGTGGAGGAGGAAACACATTTTAATCTGAACAGCTTGTGAAAGCACTGGAGCAGGACACACAGGAAGAGATGTGATGTGAATCAACCTAAGGCCCCAACAACAGATGAATCCATAAAGAAAATGTGGTGTGTGTATATGCAACGGAATACCATTCAGCCATACAAAATGAAATCCTGTCATTTGTGACAACATGAATGAACCTGGAGGACATCATATTAAGTGAACTAAGCCAGACACAGAAAGACAAATACCACATGACCTTACTTATATGTGGAATCTGAAAACAATAAGAAGTTGATATTACGGAGGTATAGCATAGAATAACATTTATCAGACACTGAGGAGGGAATGGGGAGGGAAGAGAGAGAAAGATTGGTCAACGGGTACAAGGTGACAATTCGATAGGAGGAATAACGTTTGGTGTGTTATTGCACAGCAGGGTGACTATGGTTAATAGTAAGATATTATATATTACAAAATAGCTAGGAAAGAGGCTTTGAATGTTTTTACCACATAGAAATGAAAACTGCACAAGACAATGGATATGCCAACCACCCTGATTTGATCATCACTGTGCAACATATATATGTATTATACTACAGTGTCAAATTGTGCCCCATAAATACGTACAATTACAATGTGTCAATTAAAACATTAAAAACCCAACAGATTAAAAGAAAAAGAGAGAGATGAAACAGCACGGTGTATGCAAAAACAACTTTACACCCTGGATTTAGAGGGCTCTACATTCTCTTTCAGGAGAATTTTTTGCATTGATCCTGAAACTTTACACTAAGCAAGCGTATCCCCACACAGGCTTTCCCAAGCCAATAAATAAATCTATGGGATACCTATTTGTTTTTAGCACTTTCGCTGTTAGCCTGGTTACCAACATTGCTCCCTTTTCCCTCTAGTTTTGCATATCACTGACTAGTTTCTTTTCTCAGTCATACTCGTTGAACTGGGTACCTGGACTTAGACATCATTGCCTGATAGCATCTTTCCCCTAATAGGTTAGTTTCCACGTGTTCTAGTTATTCTTAATCCTAGACACTCACGGATTTAAGAAATGTTGAAAATTAAGATAGTTTATTCTCCTCCAATCCCTAATCTAGGCTTCACTTGCCTAGAACTGGTAGTCCTAATGTGCTAAAGGTAGCAATGGGAGAGATTACAGGTAGTACCCTGATTTTGAGGGGAAAGAGGGGCAATTTTACAAATCCCAGAGTTAGTACTAACGGTGAACCCTTCTCAAGTGCCCTGAAGCTAATTTGCATATGTTTATTTTCTGTGTTTCATTTTCAAACATCCCCCAGATTGTAATTTGCCATGATTTTATTTTTCAGTGACTTCATGCTCATTTACTGGTACACTGAAAGTTTAAATATCAAAGCGTATATCTATATGAATAGGTCGACCCTGTACACAAGTCATCATATGCAGCAAGGGTCAGACACTGCACACAGCCTGGGTGACAGCCCCATCAGTCCCTGGCTTAATGACGTGTTTGCATAATATGACTATACTAGAGAAAGTTGGCATAGTGGGACCATATTGCTGAACAAGAAGAATGTGCTGATTAGAAACAATCCAGGAGACATCCCTATCAAAGGTGAAAAGTGTTGTAGATGTATCAAGGATGAAATTCAGCAGGACCATAACCCGATGAGACTCATCAAAGTAGGAACCTGCCTTTAGAAAACTTCCTTTGAAATACTCGAATTCTTGAAAAAGTCCCTCAAATATTGATGTGTACTATTATCTGCAACTTGTGGAATTGAATCAAACTGTATTTAAAAAGGAGCATCTTTAATTTTCTCAGCCTTCATAGAAGAGGAAATGGAGACTGGTCATTGGAGGGCTCTTCTTCCTTCTACTTCTGCTGAAGGGTAACTTCTGATCTCAACTTCCTCAAACCTCTGATGAGCTGCTGCTGCTCGACTCTGAGGTGCATTCTTTTTTTGATGAGAGGCATCTCTAGGTACCATCCCTGACCTGGTCCTCATGCTGCCGAGGCTGTTGCTGTTGATCTGTGGTGAGTTGGACGACTCAGAGCAGGGTATGGGATGCATTCACGCTTGGGCTCTGCTTCCTGAAGGGCTGTAAGGACTTCTTAGGATTAAGGTTCTGTCAGGTAATGCTCAGGGATGCTCAGATCTCCACTTCCATTGAGGGCTCAGAGTCAGGCAAAAAGTTGTAGATACTTCAAAAAGCCAGAATTTTCAAAAAAACGATCATTTCAGTTTTTATGTCATAGGAAGTGTTCCCTGTCTGTCTTCCTGTCCATCAATAATTGTCTTTGTTCTTAGTGTTTTCAACAGCTGCCAGAAAAAAAAAAAAAATCTACATAATAAATTGACCTCTGAATTCCTCGCCCTTCTTACTACCAACATTATTTCCTTTTATCCCTCTCTGACTCCCCATTCCCACAGTCAGACCTTAGAACTTATCATCCTATGATCCTTTGTTTTCAGTATACATCCCCCGCCGCCCCCACTAAGTTGTGTTTCTAGCTCACTTTCTCCCGCACTCTATTTCCAACAATTACCCCAGGACTACTTTTCCATTATCAGTGACTACACTTCATGTGCTCACTTCTCATGGTACTCAGCTCAGATTCTGCAGCTCACCACACAACACTCCCTCGAGTACACCTTCATCTCTTTTCCCCCATAGCACTCTCAGGTTTACATGCCTTTATGCATGCTTCACTCCCAGGCATAAACAGCTGAATGGGATTTTCTTTTTAAACACACAACCCTGCTGACTTATCCCCTTTTAAGTGTAGGGCCCCTGAATCTCAGGTAGCCAGCAGCAATGCCAGGCAATTATCCTACATGTTCATAATCCATGTTGCTCCATGATCACTATTGCATACCTTATCCTGTCACCTCAAACTTCTCTGTTCACTCTCATTATATAATCTTGCTTCATATTTCATTGAGAAAATAAAAGCAGTCAAAAGAAAACTCTCTCATCTTTCTGTTGCTGTCAACCTACTCACCTCTGCATTCACATACGCTGCCTTCTCTTCCCCTACCACGAATATATTGCCCCTCATCCTGTTGATGACAAGACTCTCCACTTGTGCATTGGGCCCAAGACCCTCTTACTTTCTCAAAAACTTTGCTCCATCATCAATATGTTTCTTCAATCTAAATTATTCTCATAAGTATACAAACATGCTACAGGACCTTTTATTAAAAAAATATGTGAAATATTATTCACATATAACACAATTCACCATTAAAGCTATACAATCCAGTGGTTTTTAATTACAATCACCGAGTGGTGCAACTATTACCACAATCATTTTCGGAAAGTTTTCATCACCAAGAAATAACTCCATACCCACTAGCAGGCATCCCCAATTTTTTTCCCAACTCCCTCACCTATACTCACTGCTCTATTCAGTGGCCACAAGCAATCATTGTCTACTCTCTGTCTCTCTATATTTGTCTATTCTGGACACCCCCCCCCCATATCTAACTGTAATTATATACCCATTGAGCAACATTTTCCTCATTCCTCCTTCCCCACTATTACCCAAGCTTCTTGTAACCACCATTCTGCCCTGTCCTTCTATGAAATCAACGTTTTTAGATTCCACATGAGTGAGAGAGTGCAGTACTTGTCTTCCTGTGCCTACCTCATTTCATTTAACATAATATCCTTCAGGCTAACCCATGTTGTTGTAAATGATAGGATTTCATTATTTTTATGGCTGAATAGTATTCCATCATGTATATATACTGCATTGTGTTTATCCATTAATTTTTTGATGAACGTCTACATTGATGCTGTCTTGGCTATTGTGAATAGTGCTGCAATAAATGTGGGACTGCAGATTTCTCTTTAACATGCTGCTTTAATTTCTTCTGGATACATGTCCAGTAGTGGGATGGCTGAACCATATGGTAGTTCCATTTTTTATATTTTAAGAGCCTTCATACTGTTTTCCATAATAGCTGTTCTAATTTACAGTCCCACCAACAGCACATGAAGATTCTCTTTTCTACACATCTTTGACAATACTAGTTATCTTTGGTCTTTTTGATTATAGTCATTCTCACAGGTATGGGGTAATATTTCATTGTGGTTTTGATTTGCATTTTTCTGATGATTAGTGATGTTGGGCATTTTGTAATATACTTGTTGGCCACTTGCATGTCTTCTTTTGAGAATCAGACCATTGTTAATAGGGTTGTTTTCTTAGTATTGTTTGAGTTTTTACGTATTTTGGATATTAATTTTTCTCAGATTTTTTGACTGCAAGTACTTTTTCCTATTTTGTAGGTTGTCTCTTCACTCTGTTGATTATTTCTTTTACTATGCTGAAGCCTTTTGGTTGTGTGTAATCCCGTTTGTCTATTTTTGCTTTTATTGCTTTTGCTTTTGAGGTCCTAGCCAAAAAATCACTGCCAAAATCAGTGACATAGAGCTTTCCCCCATGTTTTCTCCTAGTAGTTTCAGTTCAGGGTCATACATTTAAGTCTTTCATCCATTTGGAGTTGATTTTTGTCTATGGTGAGAGATAAGAATCTAATTTCATTCTTCTGTAAGTGGATATCCAGTTTTCTTAACACTATTTAGTGATGTCACTGTCCTTTCCACATTATGCATTCTTAACACCTTTGTTGAAAATCAGTGAGCTATAAATGTGTGGACTTATTTCTGGGCTCTCTATTCTGTTCCATTGGTCTGTGTGTCTGTTTTTATGCCTGTACCATGCTGTTTTGACTATTATAGGTTTGTAGATTATTAGAGTTTTGAAGTCAGGTAGTGTAATATCTCCAACTTTTCTTTTCTTCAAGGTTGTTTGGCTATTCAGGGTTTTTTTATTTGTTTGTTTGTTTCTTAGTTCCATACAAATTTTAGGATTGCTTTTTCTATTTCTGAAAGCAATGTCATTGGTATTTTGATAGAGATTGCATTGAATCTGTAGATGATTCTGGGTAGTATTGACATTTTAACAATATTTATTCTTCCAATCCGTGAACATGTTATATCTTTCAATTTATTTGCATCTTCTTTAATTTCTTCATTAATGTTTTATAGTTTTCGCTATAGAGATATTTCATCTCCTTGGTTAAATTTATTCCTAAGTATTTTATTATTTTATAACTATTGTGAATGGGATTGTTTTCTTGATTTCTTTTGCAGGTAGTTCACTATTAGTATATAGAAACACTACTGATTTATATGTTTTGTCTGTCTGTCTATCTATCTATCTATCTATCTATCTATCTATCTATCTATCTATCTATTATCCAGCAACTTCATCGGTGAAGTTGATGCCCAAATCAGTGACATAGAGCTTTATCATTTATTAGATGAAATTTTGTTGGTGAAGTCTTTAGAGTTTTCTACATATAAGATTATGTCATCTGCCAACAGGGACAATTTAACTTCTTCCTTCTCAATTTGGATGTCCTTTCTTTCTTTCTCCTGCCTAATACTTTGGGTAGGACTTCCATTATTATGTTAAATAGTAGTGGCCAAAGTGGACATCTTTGTCTTTTCTAGATTTTAGAGAAATGCTTTCAACTTTTCCCCATTCAGTATGATATTAGCTATAGACTTGTCATATATGACCTTTATTATGTTGAGGTACATTTCTTCTATACCTAATTTTCTGAGAGTTTTTAGCATAAATGGATGTTGAATTTTGTCAAATGCTTTTTGTGCATGTGTTGAGCATGTGATTTTTATTCTTGATTTTGTTAATGTGATGTATCATGTTTAATGATTTGCATGTTGAACCATTCTTTCATCCCTAAAATGAATCCCATTGATCATGGTAAATGAATTTTTTAAATGTTCTGTTGAATTTGGTTTGCTAGCATTTTGTTGAGAATTTGTACATCTATGTCCATCAGAAATATCAGCCTGTTCTTTTTGTTGTGTTTTTGTCTGGTTTTGGCATCAAAGTAATATTGGCCTCTTAGAATGAGTATGGAAGTGTTTTCTTCTTTTAATTTCTTTGAAATCGTTTGAGAGTAATTGGTATTAGTTCTTTAAATGTTTGGTAGAATTCAGCAATAAGCTATCAGGTCCTAGGTTCCTTTTTGATGGAAGACTTTTTATTACTGATTGAATTCCCTTAGTTGTTATTGGTCTGTTCAGATTTTTTATTTCTTCATAATTCAATCTTGAAGTTATATGTGTGCAGGAATTTATCTATTTCTTCTAAGGTACCAATTTCTTTGCATATAATTGTTCACAATAGTCTCTTATAATCTTTTACCCTTTATAATCTGTGATGTCAGCTGTGATGCCCCCTTTTTAACTCTGATTTTATTATTTGAATTTTATCTCCTTTTTCTTATTTAGTCTTACTAGTTTGTCAATTTTGTTTATCTTTTTTAAAAAACTGACTCATTTCATTGATCTTTTGTATTGTTTTTCTAGTCTCTATTTCATTTATTTCTGCCATAGTCTTTATTATTTCCTTCCTTCTACTAATTTTGGGCTGAATTTGTTCTTGTTTTTCTACCTCCTTGAGGTGAAACGTTAGGTTACCTATTTTAGATCTTTCTTCTATTTTTGATGTAGGCATTCATTGCCATAAACTTCCCTTTTAGAATTGTTTTTGCTATATTTCATAGATTTTTGTATGTTGTGGTTCCATTTTTATTTGCCTCAAGAAATTTTAAAATTTCTTTTTAAATTATTTTTCATTGACTCATTGGTTCTTTGGGAGCATGATGTTCAATTTTCATGTATTTGTGAAGTTCCTGAAGTACCTTGTGTTATTGATTTCAAGTTTTACACCATTGTGGTCAGAAGATACTTCATATAATTTCAATCTTTTTAAATTTGTTAAGACATTTTGTTTCCTAAAATACAATCTATCCTTGAGCATGTTCCATGTGCAGATGAGAAAAATGTGAATTCTGCAGCTATTGGGTGAAATGTTCTATAAATGTCCATTAGATCTATTTTGTCTACAGTGTAGTTTAAATTTGATATTTATGTGTTGATTTTCTTTCTGGATGATTTTCCATTGCTGAAAGTGGAGTGTTAAAGTCCCCT